CTGCCTTTCTCCCCCCATCACTCAGCGCGATGCTAGTCAGCGCAGGCGTCTGTTAGCTGACGTAACAGATCTGGCGGTTGGCGCTGTCCTCCGAGCGCGTTCAGCTGTCCAGTGATGTTGCGTGAGCGGCAGCTCGAAAAGAAAGCGGTGGCTGGTTTCACAGGCCTCGGAGGAAGCCTGTGTTAGCCTTCACCCTCCTAGCATTGATAGCATCGTGTGATTGGGGGAGTCCTAACTAGCGGGTGGAATTGGAGACGACTAAATTGGGGAAAAAATAAATAAATAAATAAAAATAATATGTAAAATTATCCATTTAAAGTTAATACTGTACGATTTCAGCAAAATTACATTAACATGTGGTACAGTTCTGCACTGTGTATTTACAGCCCTTTATTGGCAACTAAGTTGCCTGTTATTTTTTTTTTTAAGTTTACATTGTGCAGCTTTTACAATGTGTACATATTTGCTTTACAGTGTCCACTGTATGAAGTCAACAGTGCCACCATTAACAGTCCACTAATGGAAAGTCCTCCACCATACAGTGAGAAAGCTTAATCATCTAACTGAAACTAAGTTACCATCTCCAGATTAGACACCCCGATGACATGACCTAGTAAACATGAAATGCTGTTTTTAAATGATTAATTTATTTATTCAATATAAAATGCTGCTCAGTTCTGCGTGGCCCTATGTGAAAAAGTATTTGTCCTTTTAGCTACTAAATCAACTAGTTAACCAAATTCAATTAACTGTTGAATTCAGTTTCACTGCCCACTCCCAGGCATGATTACTGCCAGACCTGTTGAATCTTAACATCACTTACATAGAACCTGTCTGGCAATGAGAAGCAGGCTAGAAGGTTTGAAAAGCAGCACATGATGCCAAATTTTAAAGACATTCAATGACAGATGTGAAACAGAGTCATAGAAACCTGCAACTATGGAAGAGGGTTACAGAGTCTCTATAAGGCTCTGGGACTCCAGCGAACCACAGTGAAAGCCATTATTTACAAAAGCAAAAAACTTGAAACAGTGGTGAACCTTTCTAGGAGTGCCCGGCCTACCAAAGTGTCTCCAAGAGTGCATCAACGACTCATCCAGGAGGTCAAAAAATAACCCAGACAAACATCTAAAGAACTCCTGGCCTCACTTGCCTCAGTGAAAGCGAGTCATGGCTGGCTTTGTGATGCTAATGGAACTGACCAAAAAACATTGGTCATATCAACAACAGAAAAAAAAACACGGTGTGTTGTGGGAATGCTATCAAAGATGGTGGATGGGTCAGCAACCAATGGAGTTAGCTTGTCAATACACTGATTGGCTACCCTGTATTCCCCTGTAAAAAACCCTTTAGAAGACTTTTCTACAATGCTGTCACTCATCTTTGTAGTCCTTTTGCTAAGTGGCTGCTATGCTATTGTAGGTAGTTGGAAGTGTATTGCTGCACAACGGCTGTGATATTAAATGTGGTTGCTAGGGTATTGTCTTGTATTGTATTGCAGGTGGTTTTTAGAGTGTTGCTATGTGATTTTGAGGGTATTGCTAGATGGTTACCATGGTGTCAAGGCTGCTAGGATGATGCTAAATGGTTGCTGTTGTATCCCAGGTGGTTGCTAGGGTGTTGGAGCAATACACAAATTTTTGCACAACCTTTTTCCTGGGCATTCTTACTAGAAAAAATATATTGTATCAATGCTACACAGAAAACAGAAGGTCTAATCAAAAAACTGTATATGCCTCAATCAGACTCAATATTCTGGAGTTCATTGTTGAAATTTCAACCTGAGGAACGAGTTAGCAGACGGAAATTTAGCAGAACAATAAGATGAGAAGAATAACAATATAAAAATATTGGATAACAGGACAGTTGTACCTAAGCACAAATGCAGGAGGCTAAAGCTAAACGTTCTGTGTAGAGGCCTTGGATTTTACATTTTAAGGTTTCCACATTAACACTTCCTTTTGTTTTGTCTTTCATGTTTTGTTGTTTTCTTGTAAATTATGACACTGTCAATTTGTAAAGGTTATGAACTATGAAATATCTCTTACCCAGATGAGTTTTTAAGTCAGTTTTTTGGAAGATCACATTAAAGATGGAAACGATCAGACAAGACAACTTTTGGTAACACTTTACATTAAGTGTTGACTAATTAACATGAAGTAATGCATTAGTTCACATGAACAAGACATGAAGTAATGCATTAACAATGGTTACCTAATGTTAAGTAAACATGTTACGACTGCATTAGTTAATGTTGTTTTCATGTGAAGTGTTGACTCATTAACATTAAGTAATGCATTTATTAACAACTAAGGTTCTACATTGATAATGGTTAACTAATGTTAAGTAAACATGTTACAACTTCATTAGTTTATGTTCTAGTGTTTTGCTTATGTACTGCAGTTATACATAATGCTTGAAAAAGCAATGTTAAGTAATAGTTTCATTGGCTGAAATGACACTTCACCAATGGTAGCCACTAACTTGTTTTATTTACTTCCATTTACTGATGTAGTATTTTGTACTGTATTTTTAAATGATAACACCTTTACTTTTCCCTACTGCTTTTCCCTCAGTTCCATTTCAGTCATTTAGGTTTAGTTGCTTGTTGGGGTTTCATTGTGTCATCTTGTTGAGGTGGTTCAGCTCCTGTTTTGCTTCTTTGTTGCTCACACCTCTCACTTTGGAGCTTTAATATTTTATTTTAGATGCAAAAGGAAATAAAAAGCTAATAATATAGTCTTCAGTTCCTCTGCTGAAAGATTCTGGATGTACTGAGCTTGACTGGACCTTTCCAAGCTACTCATTACTTATGTATGTAAATGAGCACAAGGTAATATTTTATTTTATATATAAAAGTTCACATTAATATGCTAGATTCTGATGTATGTTAGATATGCTTATGTGTGTATTGCAAGAAGGAATTATACATACCATTCTCTCAGTCATATTAGTCAGGTCTGGATGGGGCAGCATACTGAATTTATTTACTTACCTACCCAATTTCTCTTCCTTATTCCAAATTTTATCATGCATGTGTGAGTGTGAATGGGGCATTTTTAGGAAGTCATCATACATTTAGAAATTGTAAATATAAAAATGATTGTATAAACAGACATTTTCATCAAAGGTAACTACTCAGAGAACATAACATGCTTTATGTTAAAACCAATGTCTTAAAATGCATTACTAACATCTATTAAACACTACTAAAGGTTTATAAGGTGTTGTTCAGTAAATTTAATACACTTGATGTAAAGTGAAAACCAATAATGCCTTAGTAATGCGTTACAAACATCTATTAAACATTACTAAAGGTTTATAAGGTGTTGTTCAGTAAATTTAATACACTTGATGTAAAGTGAAAACCAATAATGCCTTAGTAATGCATTACAAACATCTATTAAACATTACTAAAGGTTTATAAGGTGTTGTTCAGTAAATTTAATATACCTGATGTAAAGTGAAACCCAATAACACCTTAGTAATGCATTACGAACATCTATTAAACATTACTAAAGGTTTAAAAGGTCTTGTTCAGTGAATTTAATATACCTAATGTAAAGTGAAAACCAATAATGCCTTAGTAATGCATTACAAACATCTATTAAACATTACTAAAGGTTTAAAAGGTCTTGTTCAGTGAATTTAATATACCGGATGTAAAGTGAAAACCAATAATGCCTTAGTAATGCATTGCAAACATTTATTAAACATTACTAAAGGTTTAAAAGGTGTTGTTCTGTGAATTTAATATACCTGATATAAAATGAAAGAGTAGTACTGTATTAGTAAAGTACTAAGTACTTTAATGCTATAATCTGAAAGCAAAAAACATAGATACATTTTTTTCTGTATAAGTGAAACATTCAGTTCATAGCATTATTAAATTAACACAAACCTACATGGTGCAACTGAAAAAGAGGTTCATCACAGAGCTGGTGGTGTGTCTCTGGTGCAGCAAGGGTACAGCTCTGCAATGGAAGCAGTCGTTGCAACTGTGTTGCGGTCTACCTCGTATTTTTGGAAAGATTTGGCTGATGTTTCTTTTTTCTTCCTTTTGATTTCAGCCTCCTCATTCTCCTCCTTGAGCTTGTTGTCTAAAAACATCAACAAAAACAGGAACTGAGTAAACAAACATGAACAGTTTTACATTTTCATCTCTGGTATAACTAGTCATAACTTGTCAATACCAATATAAACAGAAAAATTAAATGCTACTACAATGTATGTGGATACATTTGAATTTGACTACTAACATACACTGGAGAGATCTATAAGGTGCAATTCATTTGAATACAGAATAGAAACACAACTTTTTCAAATATTAATGAAAAAGTTTCAGCTTGTCAAACCATTTTAAACTGAACACACATCACAAGGTTAGTTGCAAAAATACCTGTCTGTGGCTTGACCTAAGAACAACACCGGTGTGGAAAGTTCGGTTCATTTTACTGAACCGGTTCTTTCGAATTTATGAATCGGGCGTCTGATTCAACTGATTTAATAATTTCGTGTTATGATTTTATAATCTTCATTATGAAGATTAAGATTATACATGCGATTATGCATATTATGCTGAGTATATACGTTACAAAGAAAAGTTTTGTTCGTCCGAATGTCTGAATCGGTTCCAATAATTCTTTGAAGCGAAAAGAATCGGTTGGTGGAATGAATCGAACTTCCCATCACAACACGTTTAGCTGAACATCGATAAACAACTGACCTCACCTGGCTGGACCAGGTCTGTTATTGCCATCCGTTTTGCCTCGCTCACTGCCTGAATCCTCGTGTTTTTCTTGGTCTTCTCGGCCCGTCAGCGAGTATCTGGCGAACTTTGCATGGTAACTGCACCGTGAACACTCCGAACTGCCTAATGGGAATTCATCTGCGCGCGCAGGACGCAGGAGCAGTTTCACCCGTGATTGGCTAGTGAGGAGAACTGGTTTAAACTGATTGGCTGGAAGAAAGCGGGAGTTTTGCGCTTCAGCACAGACGGACTCGGCGCATATACTCCAGTAAGATCCCAGCGTGCTGACCAGATATATGAAAGGAAACATGACAGCCAAATCTTTCCAAAAATACGGGGTAGACCGCAACACAACTGCACAGACTGCTTCCATTGCAGAGCTGTCCCTTACCGCACCAGAGACACCGCCAGCTCTGTGATGAACCTCTTTTTTAGTTGCACCATGTAGGTTTGTGTTAATTTAATAATGCTATGAACTGAATGTTTCACTTATACAGAAAAAAATGTATCTATGTTTTCTATTTCTGCTGGGTAGCTGAATGTGTAGGTATACATTGTTTATTGTTTAACATTGTGTAATGCTTTCAGATTATAGCATCAAAGTATCTAGTACTTTACTAATACAGTACTACTCTTTCATTTTATATCAGGTTCATTCAATTCACAGAACACAACCTTATTGATGTTTAGTGAAGTTTAATAGATGTTCATAACGCATTACTAAGGCATTATTGGTTTTCACTTTACATCCGGTATGGTAAATTCACTGAACAACACCTTTTAAACCTTTAGTAATGTTTAATAGATGTTTGTAATGCATTACTAAGGCATTATTGGTTTTCACTTTACATCAGGTATATTAACTTTACTGAACAAGACCTTATAAACCTTTAGTAATGTTTAATAGATGTTTGTAATGCATTACTAAGGCATTATTGGTTTTCACTTTACATCAGGTATATTAACTTTACTGAACAAGACCTTATAAACCTTTAGTAATGTTTAATAGATGTTTCTAATGCATTACTAAGGCGTTATTGGGTTTCATTTTACATCAGGTGTATTAAATTCACTGAACAACACTTTATAAACCTTTAGTAGTGTTTAATAGATGTTAGTAATGCATTTTAAGACATTGGTTTTAACATAAAGCATGTTATGTTCTCTGAGTAGTTACCTTTGATGAAAATGTCTGTTTATACAATCATTTTTATATTTACAATTTCTAAATGTATGATGACTTCCTAAAAATGCCCCATTCACACTCACACATGCATGATAAAATTTGGAATAAGGAAGAGAAATTGGGTAGGTAAGTAAATAATTTCAGTATGCTGCCCCATCCAGACCTGACTGATATGACTGAGAGAATGGTATGTATAATTCCTTTTTGTAATACACACATAAGCATATCTAACATACATCAGAATCTAGCATATTAATGTAAACATTTAGATATAAAATAAAATATTACCTTGTGCTCATTTACATACGTAAGTAATGAGTAACTTGGAAAGGTCCAGTCAAGCTCAGTACATCTCAGAATCTTTCAGCAGAGGAACTGAAGACTATATTATTAGCCTTTTATTTCCTTTTGCATCTAAAATAAAATATGAAAGCTCCAAAGTGAGAGGTGTGAGCAACAAAGAAGCAAAACAGGAGCTGAACCACCTCAACAAGATGACACAATGAAACCCCAACAAGCAACTAAACCTAAATGACTGAAATGGAACTGAGGGAAAAGCAGTAGGGAAAAGTAAAGGTGTTATCATTTAAAAATACAGTACAAAATACTACATCAGTAAATGGAAGTAAATAAAACAAGTTAGTGGCTACCATTGGTGAAGTGTCATTTCAGCCAATTAAACTATTACTTAACATTGCTTTTTCAAGCATTATGTATAACTGCAGTACATAAGCAAAACACTAGAACATAAACTAATGAAGTTGTAACATGTTTACTTAACATTAGTTAACCATTATCAATGTAGAACCTTAGTTGTTAATAAATGCATTACTTAATGTTAATGAGTCAACACTTCACATGAAAACAACATTAACTAATGCAGTCGTAACATGTTTACTTAACATTAGGTAACCATTGTTAATGCATTACTTCATGTCTTGTTCATGTGAACTAATGCATTACTTCATGTTAATTAGTCAACACTTAATGTAAAGTCTTACCCAATTTTTTACATCAGAAAATACTGCAATTTCAAGCTATTGTGGCATCTTGGCATCCCTGAGTTTAGTTTTACTCGAGTTATTCTGTTCTGTAGCTTTAATTTAGCCTTTTCATTTGGGGGACTCTTTATTTTAGGAGAGCCGAGGCTGACAGTGAGAGTGAGCCTACATGGGGACAGTGATTCTCCCTTTTCTGCGCGCTGTTCTAAGCTGAGTTATGGACCAACATTTTGATGTCTCTGAGTTTCTCCTCCTGTACAATATTAAAAGGTAAACGTTTAATAGCATTGAGATAAGCACTGAGTTGTAAATGGACACAACACATCATAATGAGTGCTGGACCTGCTAGAGTTCAGTCTGTTTGCAGGTGTTTGTTTTAGACCCCTAACAAAGACTTTAACAGAATGCAAACCTGTTTGGAGCTCAGACCGAGACATTTGGAGTCCCTCCTACTTGGACTTGCTCCAGCTTGCAGGAATACATACTTTTATTTTCTGTGGAAAGCAGTGTGTAAGCCACTCCTCCTGAGGGGTACAGAAAAGTCTTTCAGAAGAGGAAGAGGAAAAGCAAACACCAACTGCACTCCAGGACGAAAACAGCAGGTAATAGCAGTTAATTTTATGTTTCATAAACTCATGAATATGTATTAAGTATTCATATATTTAACACAGTAATGTATTTATAACAGGTATATCTATAGTTGTTTGCCTGTAAGGCTGATTTTAATGCTTATTTTTTGTCTTTTGTTTTCACTGTTTATTTACAGTAACCATGTAATACATAGCACTTTTCTGAAAGTTCATAGTTTTTTATTTACCTTTTCAAATACAGAGAATCTATATGACTAGACTGATTTCCAGTGTGACATGACATTCTCTTGTGTGTAATTACTGTTTGCTGTTCATCCTACATTTGTCTTAGTTTATTTGGTGGATTAACCTAATTATTCATTAAAAAAACAGCAAGTCATTTTTTTATTCATTGAATACACAGTTTTTTTAAATAAAAATACAACCTTAATTTCAAAACATTTTCATTGATTTTAAAGTAAATTAAAAAGTGTATATTGGAAATTCAACTGCTTTTAACTGCCCTCAAGCACTGCCAGTCTAATTGTGATCTTTAACAGTTCTGTTCTAGTTCTCTTGTACTGACAGTGTGATGAATGTTTGGTCTTTCACAGGTGAATAATTCAGTTCACTTTAAAGATGTCGGCCACTGCAGTTTCACTCTCTAACATGAGGAATGGCTACACCATTGTGACCCAAGTGATCCCCCCACCAACATCAACTGAACCTGGGCAAATGATCTACACTGTAGACCCACTTCAGAAGTTTCTGAAAGGAAAACCAAAACTATTAGGAGTAAGTGACCCAACTTGCTGGTCAGGCTTTGTGTGAAGAAGCACACATCATTGAAAATCTCTTATCTTCTTGAAGTAAGTTTCTTGAAGTGTTTAAGCATTGTTAATGTTTTTTTTTGTTTGTTTGTTTTTTTTTGTTTTAAAACATACAGTTCACTCTCCAGTTCATATATGAAAATGTAGTTGTAAAAAAAAACAGCTTGCTTTGAATTCATTGGTTTTGTGATGTCACCAACTTATCTACATACATTGCAATGAAAAAGTGTTTGGACCCTCTTGATTTCCTCTATTATTGTATGTTTGTCACATTAAGCTGTTTCAGATCCTTATACAAAATGTAATCTATGACAAGTGAGCATGAGGAAACACAAAAAAGAAAACTAGTTTCAATTTCTTGAGAAGTACCTGGTGAGCCAGCACATTCCCAGAAATCAGATTTATAATCTCTGCCTAAGGGAAGAAGGGAGAAAGCCTGAGCTTGTTCAGGTTATGTTTATTGTGGAAGCATAACTGTCAGTGGATGGTTCAGGTTCTTGGTTATATTGTGAATCCCTGTGGAGTCACAGAGGGATTAGCTTCAGGGCAGTTCTTTCTCTTTATTTATGTTACCTCTTGGTAAATGTCGTCTTCAGAAAACATGAGATCAGCTGTGATAGCTATGCTGATTACACACAGTTATGTGTCAGACTTTTGTCAGTGGACGTCAGAATGTTATATAGGTGCTCAGCCATTTAAAAGAGTCTGTAAAATGGTGATGGCTTTAGAAAGAGAACATTTCAGAAATGGGGAATCCACATTTGCTAAATGTTTGAAATTTGAGATTCAGATTGAATGTTAAGTGACTCAGTTTATTGCATATGTGAGCCATGGTTATATTTGGAACATTCCAAATTTTTATTTTAGTTAAACATCCTACATGCACTGAAGTTTATTAAAATTGACTCATTTGAGCTCTACTGAAAATGCTTCAGCTGCAATAGATGTCTGCAACGTTCAGTATTCAAATTCAACCAGTATTGAGATCAGTCAAATATCTGTCTCTTTCTTTTTCCCACAGAGTGTTCAAATAACCATCGGTTTGTTGAAAGTCGTACTTGGTATTGTGATCATTGTGATGAACTTTGACATTTCCCCTGTCTTCGGTGGAATTGCATTAGGGTTTGCTTGGATGGTAAGTTTTATCTGCTGGTATTCCATCAGATAGAGATACTTCTTTAAATATTCCCCAATACCAATTTAAATTAAAACTCTGCCATTTTTCCTCTCACTCAGTACATCATCACCGGCTCTCTGGCTGTTTCAGCAAGTATAAACCTTCATCACTGTGTGGTATGTAAACACCCGTTTTAGTGTTTTTTACATTCATTGCAGAAACTGAACTATATCATTTATTCCTAAGAAATAATTTGGTCCCACTCTCTATGCATCAATTTCAGTGTTTTCTCATGTAGTAACACAAGGATATCCCAGTAGCTGTAACAGCATGTTTCTGCTTATGTAATTACACATGTGTAACAGTGTTATGGTAGTTATGTTTGTATAAGCTGAGGTATAGAAGCTGTTGCTGTGTAAAACATTACATACTTTGATTAGGTTTCCATGCTTTACATGGCAACAGCATATGTCCATTTCTCTGTTGATGTAAAATATAGAAATGTATGTAGGTACTGTGAATTTACAGATTGAAATTAATACTGTCTGTGTGGGTCTGTATGTAGATGTAGTAAAATGATTACTGATACAATCAGATAAGACTTGTTGGAAACTCTATGACATACTGATAACTATATAAGAGACAATAAGCCATTATGATTATCATGATTTGTGCAACCTGTGCAACTGAATGAGTAAAAACTGAAGGTGATAAACTTGTGTATTTTCATAAACTGTACTACTGTAATCCATCTGTAACAGTGAATACATTACCTGTAGTTACATTGTTGTTACATGATATACATTAAGCATTCAATAATGAATGAAAACTGATTGAATACATTATTGGCTGCCTTCACCTAATGCACTGATAACTTACATTACTTAATAGCAGGGGTGAGGAGTCATGCCAATACTTTTTTAAGTAAGTGCAAAATCTTTTGACATTCTGGTGGAACAAGGGTCTAAATATGATCTTTTCTTGACAAAAGTATTTCACAAAAAACTGTTTTGTTTACCTTTTGAGAATTTAATTGTGCAGAAATTCCCCTGCAAGTAACAGAAAGTTTGATTTTGAGCTAATTTGATTATCAGTATCATTACACTGTACTCATTTTTTAGCTTGCACAACAACAACAACAAAAAAAACTTGTTAGACAATTTCCAAGAATTGTTTCTTGTTCACTCAACTTTTGTAAATTATTAGTTATCCTGACTGACAATTTTTTGTCAACGCTAAAATAAATATTTAGTTTGGCTATCATGAGAACATATGTGGTGCTAAGAAGTACCACTAGTCTTGAGAAAAGCTCTTTGAGCTGAGCAATCAATAATCTGTAATGTCATACATTAAGCCACTGTATACAGTATCATGTCTTGTAAATGTCACAATTCTTAAAGCTCACCTGTGGTCACCAGTATGTGGACATGAACAGATCACACCACAAAGCATTTTGAAGAAATTGCTTTAATTGTCTAAATGTATACAGAACAATTCAGACAGAATCCACTATGAAATTAGTGGAATAATAATTACATAAGTAAAGAAACAGTTACAATGTTGTTTACCAAAAATTACAAACTAAACTGGTGAGTGCAGTTCACCATTAAACTTAATTATATATTTACACTCACTGGCTACTTAATTATGTACAGTGATCTTGCATCTGTGCTCATTTTCCATTTAATCAGGTCCATCTAATGTATAGGTGCACATTGTAGTCCTGTAATTGCAGATTGCATTTGATCTGTTTCTCTGCACAGTCAACTCTTTCATCTCATTCATCATTTATCTGGACCCCGACCAGGACCACCACAGAGCAGGTATTATCATTTCGTTCTCAGCACTGCGGTCACACTGGCATGGTAATATGTGTGGTACTGGTACAAGTGTATGGGACACAGTAATGCTTTGTCACTGCTGGAGTGAGAATATCAACAGCTTCCTGTGACCACTGATGAGGGACAAGAGGATGACCAACACAAACTGTGCAGCAGCAGATGAGCTGTTGTCTCTGACTTTACATCTGCAAGGTGGACCAACAACGTAGGAGTGTCTAATACAATGGACAGTCAGTGGCCACAGTGTTTAAAACCTGCAGCATCAATGCTGTGTCCAACAGACCACCTAAATAATACCTGCTCTGTGGTGGTCCTGTGGGGGATCTGACCACTAAAGAACAGGGTGAAACGGGGCTAAAAGGTATGCAGAGAAACAGCTACACTGCAATCTGTAAGTTAGTAGTACCTTAAAAGTGTCCAGTGAGTGTATATATGTGCGGGAGAGAAAGACAACAAGAGAATGAACATGTTAAGTTTAAGTCACTGTGCTAAATACACTCGACCCTTAACAGATGGAGGTCTCTGGTCAATGTCGTTGTCACTGTCAGCTTCTTTGGCTGCATCAAAAATGGAAAAAAGAGCTGTTAACTTAGCTTTCTAATGTTAGCTAAGCATGCACAAACAGGTTAGTTAGCTAATTAGGTAACAACTCTAACAAGTGTACAAACCAGTATATTAGAGATGGAAAATAAATTCGACACTGTTTCAAATTCAACATGAGATTAAAAAAAAATGTTTGAGTAAATGTTTGACTAAGAAACTGTCAGAATGTCAAACAAACAAAGCATTTGCTTATTTTTCAAGCCCTCTGACTTTTCCAGATGCCATTTTACATGGAAAATCTGCCTCAGTATGGGTCGAATCTGCCCTTATATTTTTCCTGAAGAATCAGCTGGCAAACTTTGCTCAACAGTTAGCAGTAATGGTCTATGTTCCTAACAGTTTAGTTTGCTAGCCTCCAGACCGAAATACAGTGGATAGCTTATACCCCCACTCTGATCATACATTTGATTTAGACATGTTTCAGTTGCCTTTTGTGTTTCAGTATAACAGTCATTTTGGAAATCAAAGTAATTGAATGATTTTTTTTTATTGGTGCTCATCTTTTGCTTTTGTTTTCTGTTTCTCATCTAGGTGAGGGGTGCTCTGGTGATGAATGTGATAAGCACAATAACTGCAGCGATAAACTTCGCTGTGTCATTGGTGTTTTTGGTACTCGAGCTACAGTGTAGGACCAGCATCTATCCTTGTCCTGAGGTAAGGTTTTTTTATTTGCCATCACATGACATAATTAGTTGTATATCTCGTCCTTTGATTCACAGTCGGAGACCACCTTGCATTAAATCATTATTTCAGAGGAAATTACAGTTAATTACAAATAATTCATTAGTCAGGAGATATTTAGACTTCTAGATTAGACATAAAATAATTCAAGATAATGCAAGATTATATATACATGCACACAAACACACACACACAGACACACACACACACATGTATGTGTGTACATATATATATATATATATATATATATATATATATATATACACACACACACATTATATATATATATGTGTATATATATATATATTTACACTATATTTCCAAAAGTATTTGCTCGTCTGCCTTCACACGCATATGAACTTGAGTGACATCCCATTCTTAATCCATAGGGTTTAATATGATGTTGGTCCACCCTTTGCAACTATAACAGCTTCAGCTCTTCTGGGAAGGCTTTCCACAAGAGTTAGGAGTGTGTTTATGGGAATTTTTGACCATTCTTCCAGAAATGCATTTGTGAGCTCAGACACTGATGTTGGTCGAGAAGGCCTGGCTCGCAGTCTCCGCTATAACTCATCCCAAAAGTGTTCTGTCAGGTGAAGATCAGGCCAATCAAGTTCTTCCACACCAAACTCACTCATCCATGTCTTTATGGACCTTGCTTTGTGCACTGGTGCGCAGTCATGTTGAAACAGGAAGTGGCCATCCCCAAACTGTTCCCACAAAGTTGGGAGGATGAAATTGTCCAAAATGTCTTGGTCTGCTGAAGCATTAAGAGTTCCTTTCACTGGAACTAAGGGGCCGAGCCCAACTCCTGAAAAACAACCCCACAACATAATCCCACCACCCCCAAATTTTACACTTGGCACAATGCAGTCAGACAAGTACCGTTCTCCTGGCAACCACCAAACCCAGAGTCATCCATAGGATTGCCAGATGGAGAAGTGTGATTTATCACTCCAGAGAACACGTCTCCACTGCTCTAGAATCCAGTCGCGGTGTGCTTTACACCACCGCATTCAACTCTTTGGATTGTGCTTGGTGATGTAAGGCTTGGATGCAGCTGCTTGGTCTTAGAAACCCATTCGATGAAGCTCTCTACGCTGTTCTTGAGCTAATCTGAAGGCCACATGAAATTTGGAGGTCTGTAGCGATAGACTTTGCAGAAAGTTGCCGACCTCTGCGCACTATGCGCCTGAGCATCCGCTGACCATGCGCTGTCATTTTACGTGGCCTACCAGTTTATGGCTGAGTTGCTGTCATTCGCAGCAAGGAAATTTCATGACTGGATTTGCACACGTGGCATCCTATCACGGTACCATGCTTGCGACACTAAAATATATCATAATTACATAATAAATGTAAATAAAAACAAAATATTATGCTTTGCAAATCTCATAGATTTTATTCACAATATAACATAGAACATATATCAGATGTTGAAAGTGACAAATTTTAACATTTCATGAAAAACATTAACTCATTTAGAACTTGATGGCAGCAACGCATCTCAAAAACGTTGGGACAGGGGCAACAAAAGGCTGGAAAAGTAAGTGGTACCAATAAAAAACAGATGGAGGAGCAATTTACAAGTCAAATGACTGGGTATAAAAAGAGCGTTCTAGAGAGGCAGAGTCTCTCAGAAGTAAAGATGGGCAGAGGTTCACCAATCTGTGAAAAACTGCATCTATAAATTGTGGAACAATTTCAGAAAAATGTTCCTCAACGTAAAATTGTAAAGACTTTGGCTATCCCACCATATACAGTACATAATATCATCAAAAGATTTTGCGAATCTGAAGAAATCTCTGTATGCAAGGGACAAGGCCGCTGGTCAGTATTGAATGCTCGTGATCTTCGGGCCCTCCAGATGCACCGCATTGAAAACAGGCATGATTCTGTACTGGTAATCACTGCATGGGCTCAGGAACACTTACAGAAATCATTGTCTGAGAACACAGTTCACTGTGCAATCCACAAATGCAAGTTGAAGCTGTATCATGCAAAGAAGAAACCATATGTCAACACTATCCAGAACTGCTGCCATCTTCTCTGGGCCCAAGCTCATTTAACTGAGGCAAATTGAAAAACTGTTCTGTGAACAGATGAATCAAAATTTGAAATTATTTTTGGAAACCACGGATGCCGTGTCCTGAAGTGACTTCAGACTGAAGTGGAGAGGGACCATCCAGCTTTTTATCAGAGCACAGTTCAAAAGCCTGCATCTCTGATGGTATGGGGTTGCATTAGTGCCTAAGGTGTGGGCAGATTACACAGCTGGAAAAGAACTATCAATGCTGAACAGTATATAGAGGTTTTAGAACAACATATGCTCCCATCCAGACAAGGTCAGTTTCAGAGAAGGCCTTGCATATTTCAGCAAGACAATGCTAAACAACATACTGTCACTTTAAATAAGTGATATGCGTTCTACAGCCTATTGTAAATAAAATATGGGTCTATGAGATTTGCAGATCATTGCATTCTGTTTTTATTTACATTCATTTACATTTTATACAGCATCCCAAATTTTGGAAGTGGGGTTGTGTGTTAAAAATAGAATTGTAAAATCTGAATGATTATTATATTAATGTTTTCTGATTACTTTTCATTTGGATTACTTGCCGTTGATTAAGGATGTTTAATTAAATAAAGAAAAGACGAACATAGTTTCAACAAGACTTCTTAAAAAGATTTTAACTCAACACATGCCAAACACAAAGAATGCACTCAGAATGTTAGATTATAGGTGGAGCAATTTATGGAAATACTTAAAACATAAAGATGGCAAATTTGTCTCACAGTATAATTTGTTCCATTGATACATCACGCCTGTTGATGCTCCCTAATCCCTAAGTTTTAGCAGCTCATAGAGATCAACATGTATTACGAGTTTAAAATCAGTTTAACACAAAAACTAAGTAGAAGCTGATCGACTTGTTTGCAACAAAATGATCATTTACACACATTAACCTTGTGCACCCATCATTCAAAAACTATAGAAGAAAGAAAAGAACCATACATGTGAAAATGAAAGCTTACGGCTCACTAGACTGTCGGGACTAAGTGTAGGTTTTTAATTAAATTTTATCTTTTTAAACTGGTTCCAACACTGATACAGTTTAGTTTCCTATCAGCTTTACCTCCCCTCTCACAGGCCAGCTTGTTCTTGCAACAAAGCACACTAGTTTCTAGAAGCTTCTGAACTTCAGTGACTCTCAATTGCAAAATCCCCTGACCTTCACACAGAATGGCCTTTCCTTAGTGAGAGGATTAATACACTTTTGTTACTGAATTTTTAGTATATGATTATGAATTTCTTATTGATTATAATGGTAATATATTCATTACAATACCACAAGACTTTACCATCTGTTCATGTTTCAGACTTTTAGTTTAAATCTGTCTGGTTAAGTTTATCAAGGGTTTGATGTAAAATGAGCCAAGCTGTGGAATTTTACAGAGCAAAAGAGCTGATTTCCACATCAGATCAGTCTACTGATGTAGAATCTGGGGGTGTGGAAGATCAGGGTAAACGCCTGATTCAAAGATCTTCAGGAAAACAATGCAGATCTCAGTTCTGTCAATAAAAATAAAATACTTATTAAATTTTCTATAGATTAGCTGAGTGAACTGCTGCTGTGAGAGGGATTCTTCAGAATTCTCTCCTGGTAGCAGGACCGCCTCCCCACATTATCACCCCAAATTAAAAACTCTTTAAATCTACATGATTTTTATATATGTGTGTGTGTGTGTGTGTGAGTGTGTGTGTGTGTGTGTGCGTGTGTGTGTGTGTGTGTGTGTGTGTGTGTGTGTTTGTGTGTACTTTTGCTTTTTATCTGTTGCTGAAAAATAAGAATTTGCTATTTTGTTTGTTGAATGAAAGCTGGTTTCTTTTTTGCACAATAAACACTACTGTGTCCAAAAATGTTACTCTTGTTAATCTACCAGTGAGAGTTCTGTAGCTATGAAGTCTTCACATGGCTTTGTTTAGTTCAGACACCTTAAGGATGAACCAGATTATGATGAATTTAACTTTACCTTTGTTTTATTTTTTAGAGCCCAATCATTGAGCTTGTTGTAGTGCTGGTGATTTGTTCCATAATTCAGTTCATCATCTCCATCTGTGTCTCAGTCTTTGCCTGTAAAGCCGCCTGCAGCAATGAACCTTCTGTAAGTTTCAGAAAAATAAGGACAGTTTCAGAGATATAATAAAATACCCAGTGGGTTTATTCCTTTATATTGTTGTTGAAGAGTTTTGTTGAGTTTTGTTGTTTACACTGCCCCCTTTGATCAAGAGATGACTGTCAATGAACATTGTTTACACATGTTTTCTATCTGCTGTAATGACCTTGTATAGTGATTCACCCTGTATAAACTATGCAGCTTATGAATCTCTCTGTATGTCTGTAGGTGAACATCTCTGTGGCTCCAAACCAAGCAGGACGTCCTGATTACCCCAGTGAGCAGGTAATAATGTATAAAAACAACTAAGCTGCCGATTACTTACTGTATAAAGTTTACAGTCTACAGCTTTTACAATATGTGCATATTCTTTGCTTCACAGTATCCACTGAATGCAGTCAGTGGTGCCTCCATGAACAGTCCACCAATGGAAAGTCCTCCATCATACAGTGAGATAAAAGATAACTGAGACTAAAAACATCTCCAGATGAAACACCACAATAAAACTATAAATATTCTGCTACCATAGAACTTCACAGTGTTTTTTTTTCTTCCAAAGTATTAATGCGGGTGCTCTGATGCAAACATGTTTCAATAATGTTATGAAAATGTCTATGATTTTTTAAAATAAATGAATTTAAAACATGCATATTTGGACAAAATATTGTTAGATTGTATTTTGTGTCACTTGAACATATTCTATAGTCTATACAGAATATGTTCAAGTGACATAAAATACAACCTAACAATATTTTGTCCAAATACGTATATTTTAAATTCATTTATCTTAAAAAATCTTAGACATTTTCATGTAGGTTCACTTATATATATATATATATATATATTTGTTTATTATTTGTAAACCCAGTAGTCATTGTCTTAAATCATTCAGTCCCTCATGAACATCAATGTCATAAGTAGGTCAGATATGTTTGTGTTATATCCTGTATCTTAGATCATGCAAAATATACCACAATCTCTTTGGATGAAACTTAACCATGGCAGAAATATTGGTAACACTTTATAATAACGTTCATTTATAAAACATTTATAAGCTTTTAATTCATAATTAACTAATCATGAACTCATGATGTATTTAGAGTTATAAGTCATTAATTAATATATTAACAACACTTTATAAGACACCTATAAGCTTTTACTTCATGATTAACAAACGATGAGTAGCTCAGGAATTCAGTAGTTATTCATCAGTTATGTCCATACTATAATACAAATTCATATGTTAATAGCATATTTACAACCATTTAGGAGTTCTTTAGCCAAAAAACCTTTTAAAGTAAAACATCTATAAACCTCTACTTTATGATTTACTAATCATAAACTAATCAAGTATTAAGAGTTGTTCTTCATTGTTTTATACATTAATGGCAGTGGTGCCATTTGAGCAATACAGTCTACAACGTGTCCTCTTTACAAGATATCAGGGTTTTATAATGGCCCATATATAATAATACATAGAACTGTCATCACACCTCCCTGGAGAACTCCTTATTCGCTGTCTGCATATGTATGAAGACCTGGTGTTGTTAATGACTGTTTCCCGTCACTGCAAACCTGTCATGCAGGTTTCTCCACTACAGCATCTGGACTATTTGATCCTTCCTCTCTAGGACAGTCACCTAAGTGCTTGTCCAGTACCTTGCAATCTCAAGGCTTGATTAAAGTCAGGCCCTTTCAAATGATCAAAAGGGTTACTTATATCACCCCACTGCTGCGTTCTTTTCACTGGTGTCCAGTAACTGTTCACATCAGATTTAAACTCTGACACCTGCCTACAAAGCCAAAAAATGGACCAGCTCCTTCCTACCTGATGACCTAGAGCAGGTTAAGCTTCAATACAGCCCAGCTTGACCCCGGACACATGAAAAGACAAACATCAAGACTCTTCCATTGGAGCCCATGTGGTGGAACAAACTTCCACTGAACAGCAGAATTCCTCACCATCTTCAAATGGCGACTGAAGATCCATCTTTGGACTCCAGCCTATTTACAGTAGTAGGGATACATTTTCTGAGTGGACAAGAAAGCACTTTTCTCTCGATAAGTGCTTTTTCTATATGCAATAAGTGTAATTTAAATATATATGCTACTATTTCTTAACTAATGATTGACAAATCAGGATGTTATTCACTCTTAGTGAATGTACTGCATATGCATTTATCTAAAAAAAAAATAAAAATAAACCACAGTAAGATTCATTAAAAATTTTTGGGCCTACAAGTGATTTGTTGAACATTAACAAACAGTAGTGACTTTCTTACTCATGTTTTATAAATGACCTGTTCATTACATGTAAATTATTTGCAACATTTTTGCAGCCCCTAATCTAAAGTGGACACTATTCCATATATATGAATATCTAAAAATGCCTATAAGTCATTTACAAACTGAAGTCCTTTTGTTAAGTCATTTATACATTAATTGGTCAACATTTAGAAAACATTTTGCAGCCCCTAATCTAAAGTGGAAACAAAAAACAATGTATAGACATTTACTCAATATAACCATTGAGCATAAGCTGGTATACTTTTTTTTTACCTGCCTTTTGACTTTGAGACCTTAAAATCACTGAGAAACCTCAAGAGGAGATAACAGAGTAATCAGAACTTTATTGAATAAACCAAAAAAAGCAACTGAATAATCACACTGTAGTTCTTTACTCTGTAACACAAAGTAACAAATATTTTTACTCCCTCTTTTCAAAAATTTTAAAACAAAACACAGAGGGTCTTACCAAAGCAAATGTTCCCTAGAAAGTGCTAATTTGACTCTTATGCACAACTTCTAATTCCTAATTCAAGAGTGTTGGCAGTTGTAGCAAATAAAAAAAAAAACAACCTTCTTATTTTCTTTTCATTAAAGGTAAAAGTTTGTTTTTCTTTTTGTACATTTCCACAGTGGTCAACAACTGTGCATCCATGCACTTCTTTGCAAACACCTGCAGTTTCTCTTGTCGCGAGTAACCCTCTAACAGCTTACTGTACTCTTGAGGTGCCACAATAGCAAGCTCTGCAATGGGAGCATTGGCCACTACAGTGTTTCTATCTACACTGATGGCTTTGTAGGCAGCATGAAGATTTTTCCCCCTCCTGTACTGCTGCAAAATCTTTCTGTATCTTCTTACCGCCTGCTGAGGATTTCCTGCTATAGAGAAACAACACAAAGATACAATTAAAAACATTACAAACAAATTAACTGAAATATTCCCTTAATCTTCCATCAGTCCCTTAATCTTATTTCATTTCATTTCATTTTACAACTTCCTTAACCAAAGTCTGTCACAGTAGGCTACAGAATTAAACCCAGAGGAAAAACTCTTGTTAAGAGCTGAACTGAAGGAGCATCGGAGGCTCTGTTAAGTGGTGGCAACTCAGAGGGTGGGGTCTACCCTTGAAACAAAACAGCAGAGAGAGCTCCGTCATAATACTGGGAGGGGCTTTTATCATTTAATGTGTCTTGGAGAGATGGATGTATGCACACTCGTATAACATATGACTAAAATTTGTCTCAAACTAAAAATGTGACGAATGTACCCTTTTGACCCGACTTGATTTTAAACTTATAACGACGCAACAAAACTACAGACCTACGGCACTGAGCAATTTAATATTAATAAGTTTACATCAATTACATTTTTGTTGTGGGACGTCTGATCTTTGGTGAGAGTTTGTTGCTCACCACTACAGCAAATCCACATATAGCAAGTATCTGATGATATGTTAACTGTCAACCATTAGTGATTTATTATTTTGTCAAATAAACACGTGGTTTTAATGATGTAGGCTAGATTTTTTTTATGAGGTAAAAACCTATCGAGCGGACAGGTAAATGTGGTTGTGCCACACAGTAATTTTTACCCTTGTGCTTTTCCCTCATTTCCCTTTTGACTGCCAAAAAGCATATATATGTCTTATATATTTTCTCTGCTGTTCTGCAATCTGTGTGGCAAATGTAAAACTGTGCTGCTGATGCATTACTGTCAACGGCTATTATTTTAAATGGACACAAACTACAGCAAAACTTAAATAAAACATTAATTGTTGTGTGAAGTAGTAGAAATTAACCACAGATATTTTTGTACAATTATTTTGCTGCAGGAGCACTAAAAGGTTAATAAGACTACATAGCTACATTGCACCTCTATTAATAAAAAATACTTACATTTGGCTAATTGTTTTAGAAGACTGTCCCTTTCTTCTTTCAGGTCAGCAACTGTTTTTGACATTGCCTCTTCATTCTTCTTTGCTTCAGCCAGCAGAATCTGTTGTTTTTTCAAGGACATTGCGGCTGTTGGGGCTAATAGGGGGCCTGCAATATTTTCAAAGAATTAAAGAAATCAATCTTGTTGCTGAGATTGTTTTGATATTGTATCAATGCAATCCTTACATCTGCAGTGAGCAGGTTTAAAATGTAATGTGATGTTAACATTTTCAAGAACAAACTACTTTTTTGTTGATTCTCTATTTACTGAAACCTGAAAGGATAAATATTATAAACTATATCTGTGCGTTATACATTTCTCACCAGTCCTAACAAGATGGCATCAACCGAATATTAGCTGACGTTAGCCCAACAGCCACGGAGCTGCACAAGAGAAAGCTGAGTGACTGAAATACTGACTGAGAGGCTCCTAAAACGATCGTGGGAGCGATGAGCCGCCTAGCCTATCAGTCTTCATTCGCTATACTTTTCTCCAGCGATATACAGAGCAAACCCGTACTAGCTAACTGTGAACTAACTCGCTAACGATAGCCAAGTGCCCTAGGAACAGGAGCGAACCTTGACTAGCCACATTTGCTAACGTTCGTTTGTAGCTAGCACACAGCTAACGCTAGCTGGCTGTATCATTACATTAACGCCACTTACCTGCGCCATCCTCTCCATCCTTGTTGTCTTCCGTTGGCTTGTTTGTCTTTGTTGACGACGACGTTTTGCCTTTATTTCCCTTTTGAGCTCACCTGGACCGAGTTGAAGTGGCTGTGTTTAACTCCATTACCGTGACACTTCTCCATGTAGCAGCATGCGTGTTGTTGCGCCCCCTGGTGCAGTCCTGAAAAAACTCAACTCGTCCACCAAACTTCCACCTTCACTTTTAATAGTTTATTTGTATTTCAAAATACATATAATATAATTCATTAAACGTAAATCAAGTTAATTTGTAAAGTAAAAAAAGGTACATAAATATGCATTATGCATGATTAATATAAATATGTACACTATATCCTCCTGAGACCCCGCCTATTCATTTGTGTCCTTTGTAGTGGACACTTTGTTTCTGCATCTAGCATTTTACTCGTTTGAGTTACCCTAATAAGTCCTGCTGTATCTTAAAGAGGACATCCTGGGCTTTCCAGTGATACCACATGTGTTGGGGTAGGATGCTGACAAATTCCACTTCCTGTTTAAACAAAATGGCCTCCATATCAACAAGCACATTTTATGGAATGAGAAAAGGTAAGTCAAATATTCTTTATTTATTGCTTTTTTTACTACAACATTCATATATTTTATTGCTTTTGAGGTTGTTAGGAACTGTTTAATGAGGTCTGAGAGCAGTTTATTTATTTTTGAAATTAAATAATAACCATTTTATAAATGTCCACTTTAGTGGACACTAAGATGATCTTCACGTCTTTCGTGGTCACTAAAGGTTTTAACATATTGTTTTAGGAGACAGAACAGAGGCAGAGAAGATTTTGTACAAAATAATTGAGGGAGATTCAGACTTAGATTTATCAGATGAGGAAGATGCTGAGGATGAGTTTAAACCTGATGAAGAAGAGGTAGAGAGTTCTAATGAAGACGCAGGTAGCTCATCAGATCAGATCACAGACACAGGCCAACAGGAGAGCCGTCGTCCTTTGTGGGCCAGGACTAGCACGTATGTTTCATTTCGTTTTAGGATTACCATAAATAATGTTTATAATCAGTAAAAATATATATAAATACTGCATTGTTGATCTAATGGCAGCACAAAATGCACTTGGCAACAGAAAGTACAGTAAATGAAATGACTATTAACCACATTACATTGTGATCAGATTGTTCAGAGAGTTTTAAAGTGAATAAAAATAATTACATTTCAGATGTATCAGATCAAAGTGTTTGGAGGTTAAATTAATAATAATGGTGTTAATGAAATTTTATTAAACTGTTTATTCTGCTTTTCCACCAAAACAGATTCACACCTGTGCTACCTAGGCCTCCTGATTATCAAGATGACCCTACACTTCGTGCAGATTGGAGTCCAATTCAGTACTTTTCCCAATACATTGACAGCAAGGTTTTTGAAGACTTGGCAACTTTCACAAATCAAAGGGAGCTACAGACTAGAGGAGTTTCTCTGAACACCACTCCACAGGAAATGAAGGTCTTCTTTGGCATATCAGTTCACATGGCCTGCCTTGGTTATCCCAGAATCAAGATGTTTTGGGCCAAAAAAACAAAAGTGCCAATTATAAGTAACAAAATGACAAGAGATAGGTTCTTCAAGCTGAGAAACTCACTGAAAATTGTAAATGACCTTGATGTGAATGAGGAAACAAAGAATACAGACATTCTTTGGAAAGTCAGGCCACTCCTTGACAGAGTGAAGCAAGGCTGCCTTAGGCTTTCAAAACCAGGAAAGCTCTGCGTTGATGAGCAAATCATTCCTTTCATAGGCCGCTGTCCAATCAGGCAGTTTGTTCCAGGCAAGCCATACCCGACTGGCTTGAAGGTATTTGTCCTCGCCTCTCCAGATGGTCTGATGTTGGACTTTGAAGTATACCAAGGAAAGAATACATTTAATGACAAAAGATTGGGCATTGGGGCAGCAGCAGTCCTACGTATGGTTGAATCTGTTCCCACAGGAAGTCAGCTGTTCTTTGACCGGTACTTCACATCAGTCAGTCTCATGGATGCTTTGCTGGAAAAGGGCTTTCCAGCAACTGGAACCATAATGAAGAACAGAGTGCCAAAGCCATGTCTGCTTACTGGTGACAAACAATTGCAAAAAGAAGGGAGAGGAGCATCAAAGATGGTGGTCAGAAATAGTCCTGAGCTGGCTATCACAAAGTGGTATGACAACAAGCCAGTGCTAATGGCCTCTACCATACTTGGGAAAGATCCTGAAGATGTCTGTACAAGATGGTCCAACAAAGACAAAGCACACATCCAAGTGAGAAGACCAGCAGTTATCAGAGAGTACAATGACAACATGGGCGGGGTGGATTTATGTGACCGAATGTTGAGCTTTTACAGAATGTCAAGCAGGACCAAAAAATGGACTACACGAGTGATAGGTCACTTTTTTGATGTTGCCATCACAAACTCCTGGATCCAGTACAAGTCAGACAGCAAAGTCCTGAATCGACCTGCAAAGGAAACTGAACAGTACTTGGACTTCAAATTGCACCTGGCTGAAGAGCTGTTGGATCTTCCAGAACTTGACAACAGTGCAAGTGAAGAGAGCGAAGAAGAGTATGAGCCACCAATGAAAATGAGGATTCCACAACCAGAGCCATCTGTGCGTAAATATGGAGCCATGCACATGCCAGAGATGGTGGATTGCAAACATGCAGAAAGATGCCGAAATAAGGGCTGCAGAAACAAGACATACATGAGATGCACCAAGTGCAAGATGTTTCTCTGCATTACCAAAAGAAGAAATTGCTTCCTGGACTATCATCGTTGAAAAAAAAAAATCCTCAAGATATAACACGCAAGCAAATGAAAGACTAACCAAGTTTTTAGTTCTGAAGAAGTTCAGTATTTCTGTAGATGAAATCAACAAAAATGTTCAAAAAGAATTCAAAAGCAGTGAAAGATTTTAGGTCAGCTGTTCTATACTTGAGAGTGCAAAAGACATGAGAAAGCAAGTCACAACATATGCAAATGAAATAAAAGAGAATAAAAAAAAACTGAGTTAATAAGAACATTTACTTTACCAACCTGAAAATCAACAAACAAAATGAATACAGAATAAAAGTCAAATATGTCCTTGTTTTATTGTTATTGCTTAACTTGTTAAATTTCACTGTTTTGAAGATTAAAACCGTCCTGCCGTCCACTATAGTGGACATGCTATAAAAAAAAATAAAAATAATTTTTAAAAAGTCTAAATGGTAATATGTTTTATTTATGCCTAAAAGATAGGAAATCACAAAAAAATCTAAATTGCAAGACACTTTTTTTCATTGGTTCTCAGGAGGATATAGGTAATAAATAGGGACATAACGTTGAATCTCATCCACTCAAGTGGAACATATTTAACTGCAGCGCATCTGGTTATAATTGCGTCAAAATGTTGTATTTTGAGAAAAAAGTGAGGAAACTGATCGAGGGCAAGAAATCAAAAAGAAAACATCTAAAATTAATAGAGTGGCTCCAAAAGAAGAAACTACTACAAAGAAAGGTGAAATGCCATCTTTGTCACCACAAGATGAAGCTCAAAGTCAGCGACTGCTCGGATTGCTATGAATGGTAAGTCATGTTATGCTTTTTTTTAATGTAAGTTAATGTAACAGAACAGAAGAAGTTAACCTAAGTTATCTAAAATAAGTTATTTAGTTGTCAGAAGAAAAACTATAGTTTAACAAATAGCTATTACAGAAAGTAAATATTATTATCTGAAATAGATTTTGTATTTGTTTTTGTAATTAGAAGTTTTGATCAAACACCTTTATGCAGTATATTTTTTAAAAGTGAAACTTCATTGTCTGTTCTAACTTTTCAATTGTCAGAAATCATAAACTTCTTGAAGTGTTGTGGTAGTATGTTTTTGCCATATTGCCCATCTCTATAATGGATAGTAAATTAGTTTTGGAATTGAACATGACTATCCTAAAGACCTTTTACCTTAAATACACCTTGGACATAAATATAATTCCTATCCATACAGGAGGTGTCAACGGGCTATCCACAAGGGAACGGCAAGTAAAGAGATCTGTCAGGCACAACTCTGCGTTTAGTCGTTCCAAAGTGTCTCTCTTCAAATGGATGGAATTTGTATACAGGTGAAAGCAGCTTACACATACAGGTTTACTAGGTCTTAGCAACAGCATTCTGTTGCTGCATATTACAGGTGTGGGCGGGGTGGCCATTTGAACTTTAACTTTTCACTTGAGTTTAATATTACCAAATACTAAATATTATTCTTGTTCAGAATGTGCAAAGACTATGTGTTTCTGCCCTGTAAAAATATGTTTACAGTGCAACCTATAAAGGCACTTCTTGTGCTTATGAGCAAGTTTACTTGTTATGTTTAAGTGAAATATCTTCTTTGTTTAAAATGAAGCAAAGCAAACATTTCAGGTGAACAAAAGCACTTCAAACATCTTTGTCCAGTTCCATTTTTAGGTATCCATACACTGCATGAAATGCTGCACTTTACAACTTAAATTCATACAATCAGAGTCTTGGTGAGGTGTTAAAAACAATTAAAAAGTTTTCTATCATTATGTGCCTACAGGTTTTCTCAAGGTCTGCGTTTACGCCAAATCGACATGATTGCTGATGAAATAGCAGGGAGTTCAGCAACTCTGTCAAAAATGGCCAAAAAGGTGAGAGAGGCTTGTGTGAGGTCAATAGAAAAACTCAGAAGAAGGAAAGGACAGCATATTGGAGGACGAGAGTCGCTTCAGGCATAAAAGAAAGGCATGTATATTTTAATATGAGTTTAGCGTTTTTTATAGTCGTGATGATGTTGAATGGACATACATTTCTTAATTTCTTCATAGTTTTCTTCCTTTCCTTCCATCGTTAGTAGAAATAATTAAATTGAAATAATTAACCCTTGCAGGCCTTTTATTTAGCTATTAATCTTAAGACTTATTGCCAAGTAACAATGATGAATATTTTGGTTATATGTAACAGGTGGTAACACTTTACTGAAAGGCAGTGTTTAAGGCTAGGTGACATCCTACACAAGTCTCTTATGACTGACATTATCTTACATTTATAAAGGTTTATCACAACAAGTGTTGGTTGTCATAAAGGCTGGTTCTCTCAAGTTCAAAGTTGACGTAATGAATACGCCAATGTATAGATTTATGTTAGCGTCAGGTAATGACATTTCACTTTCTGTCTGAAATAACATAACATCTTATGACAACTGATGTTTTAGTGTTGTCATGTCTTTTCCACAGCTCTCCTATTCCTAATAGTGTCCATTTCACATGCAATTCTTAAAACACATCATAGAACTC